GGGTTGAAGGATGTGAAGTTTGAGAAGGACAAGCTTTATAGTGCATGTCAAGCCGGCAAGCAAGTTGCAAACACTCATCCAACCAAAGCTTTCATGTCAACCACAAGAGTGCTAGAACTCCTACACATGGATTTATTTGGACCAACAACATACAAGAGTTTGGGAGGAAATCTCTATTGTCTTGTGATTGTGGATGACTATTCAAGGTATACATGGGTGTTCTTCGTTCATAACAAATCCAAAGTTGCATCTTGCTTCAAAAAGTTTGCCAAGAGAGCTCAAAATAAATTTGAAGTGAAGCTCAAGAAGATAAGAAGTGACAATGGCAAAGAGTTTGACAACACAAACATAGAAGCTTATTGTGATGAAGTTGGAATCAAACATGAAGTCTCCGCAACTTATACTCCTCAACAAAATGGTGTAGTTGAGAGGAAAAACCAGACTTTGATCACTCTTGCAAGGACAATGCTAGATGAGTACAACACCCCCGAAGCTCTATGGGCGGAAGCAATCAACACCGCATATTATGCATCCAATCGTCTATTTCTTCAAAAGTTCTTTGGCAAGACACCTTATGAGTTGCTAAATGGGAAGAAGCCGGACGTCTCATTCTTTAGGGTGTTTGGTTGCAAATGCTACATCTACAAGAAGCGGCAACACCTAGGGAAGTTTCAAAGACGTTGTGATATAGGTTTTCTTGTTGGTTACTCATTGAAGTCTAAAGCATATAGAGTATTTAATCATGCCACCGGTTTGGTTGAAGAAACATATAATGTGGAATTTGATGAATCTAACGGCTCCCAAGGAGCACATGAGAATCTTGATGATGTAGGTGATGAACCATTGAGAGAGGCTATGAAGAATATTCCGGTGGGAGACATCAAGTCAAAAGATGATGAAGATGATGTACAAGTAATTGATCAACCCTCTTCATCAAGTGTACCACAAGATGGTGAAAAAGATGGGAGAGTTGAAAATAAAGATACTCATGTCTCCCATGAGCAAATGGTGGTACAAGCACAAGATGTTGATGCTCCACAACCTCCTCCTCAAGTGGTCAATAGAAGAAATACACCTCTCCTACAACATCATCCATAAGATCTCATCATAGGGAGTCCATCAAAGGGTGTAATGACTCGATCTCAAAAACTTACTTCATTTATTGCTCATCACTCTTTTGTCTCTTGCTATGAGCCTACCAAGGTAGAAGAAGCTCTTAAAGATCTGGATTGGATCAATGCCATGCATGAAGAGTTGAACAACTTCACTCGCAATGAAGTTTGGACTCTTGAAGAGCGACCAAAAGGTGTAAGAGTCATTGGAACAAAGTGGGTGTTCCGCAACAAGCAAGACGATCAAGGTGTTGTAATGAGGAACAAGGCAAGACTAGTTGCAAAGGGGTTCTCTCAAGTTGAAGGCTTAGATTTTGGAGAGACCTTTGCACCGGTTGCAAGATTAGAAGCCATTCGTATCCTACTTGCATATGCATCACATCATGAAATGAAACTATATCAAATGGATGTGAAAAGTGCATTTTTAAATGACTTTATTAATGAACTAGTATATGTTGATCAACCTTCCGGGTTTGAAGACCCTAGATATCATAATCATGTTTATAGGTTGTCTAAGACACTATATGGACTTAAGCAAGCCCCAAAAGCTTGGTATGAGCGTCTTCGGGACTTCCTTATTGTAAAGGGCTTCACCATTGGGAAGGTCGACACTACACTATTCACCAAGAAGCTTGATGGGCATATCTTCATTTGTCAAGTATATGTTGATGATATCATCTTTGGATCATCAAATGAAGACTCATGCAAAAAATTTGGTGAATTGATGTCAAAGGAGTTCGAGATGTCCATGATTGGTGAGGTTACATTCAAAGGACTTCCTTAGTGAGTTTAGACATCTGACTTTAATTTTTTACTGAAATTATTCTCCCCACTTATATTAAGTAGCAACTGGAAATATCCAGGTACGGCATATTTACATGGATTAAAGCATGCCTCAGGGGAATTTGTCGTTATCATGGATGCGGACCTATCTCACCATGTATAAATCTTTCACCTTTTCTTCTTTCTGTTACTACTTTTGTTATGTTTGCTATTTACAATATTTTTCTTCCTAGCTTACTAACTATTTTCCCACTTTGAACAGCCAAAATACTTGCCAAGCTTTATTAGGTAAGAATCGTATCTCTGAAGATATAAAGAGTTATTGGGTATCTACTACATGTTATTTTACAGATATTAGTCTGCATCCTCAAATCTATTTTTTTAGTGCATATAATTCTCAGTCCAATTTGTTCTCAAGATATCTTTAGCGACAAAAAAAATAATAGTGTCACAGTTGTTGGATCCAATAGCTGAAAACACATTTCAAGTAGAGCTTGTCAGTTGGTCCCTTTGGGCTCCTCACTGAGGCTACTGAAATGAAGTAGTTTAGAAAACGTGTCTTTTTTAATCATGTTATTTCCTTAACCAGGAAACAAAAGGAAACTGGAGCTGACGTTGTAACTGGCACACGGTATGTTAAGAATGGTGGTGTCCATGGTTGGAATCTCATGCGCAAGCTGACTAGCAGAGGTGCAAATGTTCTTGCACAAACGTTACTACAGCCTGGAGCTTCAGATTTAACCGGATCATTTAGGTCTGTCTTTCTTTTATCTTGAACAGATGAAATACCCACCCTTCAATCACCTCTTTTGATGATCATATCATAATAGGCTATATAAGCGAGATGTCCTGGAAGACTTAATCTCCTCATGTGTCAGCAAGGGCTATGTGTTCCAGATGGAGATGATTGTTAGGGCTACTAGGAAAGGTTATCACATTGAAGAGGTATGCCACTGTGGGGTCTCGTTTTTCATCGAATAATATTGGATCATCTCTTGACTTTGGTAAATGAATCGTTGATTGCCTTCTCCTCTCCAGGTTCCAATAACATTTGTCGACAGAGTATTTGGAATTTCAAAACTTGGTGGGTCCGAGATAGTTGAATATTTGAAAGGCCTTGTTTATCTGCTGCTCACAACATGATTGAAGATATGTAGTAGGCTTCTGGTTTGTGGGTACAACCATGTTATAGAGAATTTTACTGATGTGTTATTATTGCAGCTTGAGTTGTATATCAGTACAATCACGCATGTTTCCAGTGAATGGATTGTTGTACTCAAGTCATGGTTTCTCTGTACATTTTCTCACACAACACAGCGCCCCTCCTTTCTGTTGACTTCCAGTGCTTTTAACGGTTTGTAATTCTGACATGTTTTTACGAATATTTACTGTCATCGGCCCCGTTCAGTTTGCTGAAACTTGGTTGAAACTGGCTGAAAAATACTGTTCTGGCTGAATTGTTCTGAGAGAAAAACACTGTTCCGACTGAATTATTGAGTCTATTGTGTGGCTTCACCTCCCTTGTTTTCCGAAGGGAACCGGCTGTATGTGTCTACACAGAAACTGTTGCTGGATGTGTTGTTCCTGGTCTACTCTGCATGGATAGAATGATGATATATGGATTATCTGTATCTTTTTAGAGCACTCATCTTTTTTGTCTTACCTCTATCTGTTTATGCATTATATCAAAGATCAGACATGAATGCTGACATGCTGTATGTTGGTCTCTACAAAACATACAAAAAATCATGTCCTTGATGGCGTCCGGTCGTTGTGATGCTCGGTCTGATCAGATGTTTAGGTTAACGTGCCTTGTGCCACACATTCCATTTTGGGATCCTTTGCTTCGAGTTCTCTATAATTAGATTCACAGTACCTTTTTAATGATAGATATATGCCCCAGTGTAACTGAATGAAGATTCACAGTAGATATATGCCCCAGTGTAGCTGAATGATCAATTGTTGAATGCAGGAGCCATGATAGATAGGCTGGGTGCAATTTCAGCTTCCTAACAAAGAGATTGTCCAACTAAACGCCCTGCACTCATCTGCTTACCTGAGATATTGAGTTCTCCATTTCAGTCCGGTATATCGTTCAAACTAGTTCCTAGATAAATAATATGTTTTTTTTATTTAAGAGCGTGGAATCAGAGTTATAATTTTAGGCTACTAGTCAAAGTCTATGTTTTCTAAAGGACAAAGTCCAAATTACTCCTTCGACATTCACTCGTAATAAGGTTGGCATATATAGTAACAAATTGACACTAGAAAAACAAAAAAAAATTATGAAGCATGATAATGACAAATTTATAATGTATTTTCTGAACTCACAAATATTGAAAACAAAACTCAACTTGTACTAGAAGAAGTTAAAAAAACAATCTTGTTAAAGGGTAAGTTGGATTTACTGAAATTGAATCAAATGTTACTTTAAAATATTATGCAATGTGAGGAGACTATGACTCAAACCCAGGACCTTCCGGTCACAGACGGTAAGACTCTACCGCTTGCACTAAGCCTGCCCTTCTGACATAGCTAAACTTGGATGGAAAAAAAATAATTTTAGAAAAAATATATTTTTTTCTTCTCTAAAATATCTTCGGTGGCGGTAGATGCGGCATCGGAAGCGATGTTACGGTTAGCTTTCTTGGCACCGAACTTTTTTTTAGGGGAACTTGGCACGGAACTCAGAGCCTGTTCAGCAGGACTAAAAAATATTGTTTTGGCTGATTGTTGTGAGAGAAAAATACCGTTCTAGCAGGATGTGAATAGTGATTTTGTGAGGTGGCTGGCCAGCCGGCAATCAGCCAGCCAGCCAGCCGAACACAGCCTAAACTGAATACTAATGGACATCGGAAGCAAAAAAAAAAAATCACAAAGAATCACGAAGATTAGGACCGACGCTACCGAAACCGAAATGCGCACTGCGCCAGAGGCAAGGCAATACAAGGAGACCTGCATTGCATGGGCTGCGCTGCCACGCACACCTTCACGTCGATCGTCGTAGATTCCACTGCTCCCATCGATCGTTCCACGCCGTGCGCACCTCTCGGCCGGCGGCGAGAACCCTAGCAGATCCACCGCCACCACCTCGAGACCGGCGGCATGGCCGCCAACGACGAGTTCCGGCCCACCGACGAGGCGTCGGTCGCCCTCCTGCGCGGCCTCCGTGCCAAAACCGTCAACCGCAGCTTCATCCACCGCGCCGACGTGTGCTCCGCCGCCCCCGAGGAGCTGGTCGCCGATCTACAGCCGGTGCCAGGCACCGATGTGACGGAGGACGGGTACAACAGCGTTTGGTACATCTACTGCCCAAAGCGATACAAGAACACCCGGGGCAAGGCCAGCGGGCACAGGCAGCGCGCAGTGGAACCCGACGGCAGCAAGATGTGCTGGCACTCGGAGGCTGGCCCGAAGCCCGTGCCAGGCGTGCCGGCCGGCGCCACGTTCTGCAACTTTTCCTACGGCCGCAAGGAGAAGGAGGGGGCGTCGGGTCGGCAGCGCTTGGACAGGATGGGATGGTGCATGACTGAGTTCGACGACACGCAGGGCGGCGGCGGCGACCACGTGCTGTGCAGGGTGCACCGCTCGTCCTCGTCTCTCGCCAAAAGGAAGTTCAAGTCGTCGTCGTCGTCGTCCAAGAGGAAGGCGGCAGGCGATCACCCCGAGGCGCCACCAACCAAGCTGATCCACGACGAGCAGGTGCAGATGCAGATGCAAGTGCAGCAGAGCCCCGCCACGTTCTTCGCCAATGCTTACCCGACGATGCCCTGCTATGGTTATGGACCTCCCCAAGGCGTGGATCCCGTGACGATGGTCGGATGCGAGGATGAGCGTGGTGTGCAGCAGCCACTCGTTGAGCCGGAGTACGGCGGCGAGTTCAACTTACATGAGTTGATCAACATGGACGAGCAGGTGCAGATGATGGTGCAGCAGGACCCCGCCGCCTTCACCGATGCTTACCCGATGATGCCCGCCTGCTATGGTCATGGTGGTCCCCAAGGCGTGGACCCCATGATGTTCGGAGACGTTAATCGGGAGCACGGCGGCGACTTGGGCGTGTTCAACTTCCAAGATTTGCTCAAGAACGACGAGTGGAAAGGCTTCGAAGACTTCCTAGCCGAGCAGGGGCAGGGGCTGCAGCAGCCATGCGCCGAGCCGGCCGAGCAGGGCTGCGAGTTCGTTGTCCCAGGACATGTTTCTGTCTGCTAAACATGTACATGTAGCTTAGTGTTCTGTGTTTTACCACCAAACTATAAGTGGTTTTCTGATTACTCTATGTAAACGCCTGACAGAGAAAGATGATATGCTGTATGAAGCAAAAGGAATTAATGCATATAGTTGTTTTGCTTTAATGTTATATTACACTGTTGCATTCTTTTTCTTTATCTTAATTATTCAATATGTGATGAACATTGTTCAGCAGCTCTAGTGTAGTGTGAAAGATCTTTTTCAGATTATAGAGCTTTGTGGCTTTGTCAAATCATGCTACGAGTGATTGAGTGAATCTTTACATGCATTCAGCTGCGTTATGTCAGACAAGTGAATGGTTAAGATACTAACACGTTACAGTGACTTGCCTCCAAATGGAATTTTCAGTAGTCATAATCATTTACTTAATTTAACATAAAAATAAGACTGACAGATATGACGAGCAACGACATATTCGCCCAAGGTCAACTTTCAGAATGAATTTTAGATGAAGTTCAGGCTATCCCCCGCTAAACTGCAGTGTTTGAAAATATATATCTCTATTTGTACAGCCATCTCCTCGATTAATCTTCAGATAAGTTGTCGGGTTCATAAACCCGGGGTCCCTGAAGGACCAGCTTCTACGGCAGGGCTCGACCCAAGAAAACAGCACGTAGTTCGTGGGTTGGCCCAAGAGCCTAAGACACGACGGGCCGGAGGGACAGTCCAGTCACCGACCGGAAGGTCTACCTAAAAACAGGCGCTCGCTCGTCAACCTCTCCAGCCCACCTCTCCGATCGGAGCATTCGCTTTGGGCACCGGGCGCCTCCGGGCGGTCTCCCCGATCGGAAAGGCCTGGCCCAAAGCACCGCTTCCTACTCCAACCCCGCGTCTCCGACCGGGGACCCCGTAGGAAGCCTGCTTACCACTCTTCTCCGACTGGCGCGGCCAGGGTTGACTGGGGCCATCCGACCGGGGACACCCGCTCGGAAGGGACCAGGAGCAAACGGAGAAGGCGGTACACGTCGAGCTTCGATACCGGGACCATACCCTGTACGTCTGAAGGAACAGTGCTCCTCAACCGCCCTAACACAAACAGTATTGTATGCGCCGACATTTGTGTCTACAGTATTGTAGGCGCCATCGGGCTCCCATACGACAAAAAGCCTCCCACATATCTCTGGGCATCGATAGTGGGCGCCAGGGTTCACCATACCTGGTACACAGGGTAGGGCTCCTTACACACCAATAGTATTTTGCAGGTACCGACATCCACCTTTCCTGAATAAGCCAACGCAACCTTCCATGTGCACCTGACATTCTACAGTGACATCAACAGTATTGTGGGTGTCTACCATCATCGCTACCCTCATCGGCGTGGGCAACAAGGCTTAGAAACATCCGTACTATCTTCCTCTCACCTGTAAAGCCATCCCCTTTATCTATAAAAAGGGGATGCGCTCCCTCCAACGGAGGAAGGTCCACCTCTTCAAGTTCAGACTCACTAGATCGATAGCACAAAAACCTCTCAAGCACACGCTTGAACACCTAGCTCATAGCGGAGTTCTGGTCGCCCTCAGCCCTTCCGGTCGGACCCGACCGGGCCTCTCGTACACCCCTCCTTTCTCCTTCTCGTTTGTAACCCCACTACATACTTCGAGCACCTAGTCTCAGGAATAAAGTCACCGACCGACCCACACTGGACGTAGGGCATGTTGCCTGAACCAGTATAAATCTTGTGTCATTGAGTGCTAGGCCACCTCTGATCGCAACGTACAGTAAAACTACAAATATTCACTAGTTGATCACTTTCTGTACCTACAGTTGGCGCCGTCCGTGGGGAAGACGATGTACGTTCAACACTTTTTTGTCATCGGATGACCCATTTTTCCGTCACCCCCACCGCGGCGGGCTCGGACGATACGATTCACCTCGGCTCACTGGAGTATCCCGCACTCTCGCCTGCGGGAATGCGGGTTCCACTCGTTTTCGAGCCATCCCAGGCCTTCCTCTTCGGAAGCCTGGACTTCGTCGCTGACCGGCTCGGCGTACTCCACCTCCACGAGGAGACTCGTGACCCGACACCCGTCGGAGAGACGTTCTCCATCGACTCCGGGACGCGCTGTAACAGAACCGACCAATTATACGAAATTAAGTAAGAAAATCATCCACCAGAGCAGACGATTGAACAAACTTAAGCCCGTATAACCCGATAGTCCGTGAAATCACAAAGGATTTCAAACCAACTCGTGTCCCAGCCATGATCGTAATAAGTTTAGCGGTCACCATCACATATTACATAAAAGTTCGCAATCTCAGATACATCAGAGTTTAAACATAGTTATTACAAACCAGTTCGAATAAAAGTAGTGGAAGTCATTTGTTCAAACCACACACACTCACGCGGAGTTTAAATATAGTGCTAGCGAATGATCATCTCCAACAAAAGCATTAGATGAGACATAAGGAATGACCATGCCCATGGTCCTAAGCATCACCCATCGCAGGATAGAGGCAGTTGATACAATAGCCGTAATACATCTGCCCATCTGCAACAAGTGGGAATAAAACCCTGAGTACGAGAAGGTACTCAGCCAGACTTACCCGACATAACCGAAAATAAATGACACCAAGGATTATGCAGGCTTTATAGTAGGGTAGCTGACTCATTTGCAAAAGAAGCATTTTTAGCATTTCAAGAACCTTTCTAAAAGCATTATTGTCAAGTTAATTATTATTAACCTGTCGACTAGATTTGCACCTATACTAGAGTAAACATGTGATTAAGCAATTAATGATAACCACTGATCATTAAACAACTTCCATACTGTCATATTCACTATAACTGTCCAAGTGTTCCATAAACATTTACTACGATGAAGTAACTCAAGTCAAGTGCTCACTATCCAGGAGCGATGGCGATTCGAATCGATTCCTAACCAGCTGGTGATTTATTCCTTACACAAATCTCACTCACCCGCTAAAGTGAGATATTGATCACCGAGTCAACTTTCCAGGTATCTCGAGTTTGCCAGGAACCACATGTACCCGGGGGCCGACCGACTGCACTTTGGTCTTATCATCCCGCCCCCGTGTCCTACCACACCTGCTTCGGCACAGTGCGCTGCGGGCAATCTACTCGGCCCGAAAAATCTCCCAGCTTCGCGGTCGGAAGGTACTTTATCCGGCCAGCTAAATGTAAGGCATGCGTTCAACATGACTCGAGGCCCAACAACGGTCGGTCCTTAATCGACACAGACGGAAACACTACAGTCCAAAACTCTGCAAGTCTCCGCCCGGTCTCAACTTCATTTAACACTTAGTTATACCATGACTTCATAGCCATCCAAACAGATCCAGGTAACCACCTATAGCTCGCAGGTGACAGGAAATCACCCGACTTCTACCGGTCTAAGCCAGCTAAGCATTGACTCGACTGCGGATACCAGGGTAACAAGGATATAGTATAACAAAGGTAAACAAGGTATAATGCAGCAACGGTTGCAAACAACTCCTGAACGTAATGCATCAATTTAAAGTAAAGCATTTAATGAAATCATTGCAAACCGGGAGAAAGATGCTCCGGGGCTTGCCTCTCTCGAAGGAGCTCGGACGGTGATCGGGGCACTCCGGAAGTTCTTCAACGTCCTCCTCGTCGGCTTCTGGCACTTCCTGCTGCTGCACCTCGAGCTGCTCCTCGGGCTCCTCGGGAATGACGACTGGGTTCTCGGTTTGCGATCCTGTATGATGCAATGCGTGTAAGTGCCTATGCAATCGGTGCATCGAAGGAGATGAATGCAATGGATATGTTGAAAAGCAAGGTAGTCAACATCATCCAAGAAACTATGCTACAAGCACATGTCATCTACTGCATTCTCTTCTACTACCAATATGTTAAGTTAACATATCTTATGAAATGCTTCAAAGATACACCAAAGCTTTACTAATTTCTTAATCACACTTAAAGCAACACTTGCTTAAACCCTAATTAATAATAGGTTTGAATAGCAACATATATTTCTGATGCTCCTAAAAATCTGAGGAAAATACAGTAGCATAATACTACCCTAAATGGACTACCATAAAATTTTCATGGCATTTGGATAAGTAAACTATCCTACATAAAAATGACAAGTTATAGCATAAAAATGAGCATGAAATTACTTTGTACTATGAAAAGTGTCAAACAACAGATTGAGTATTTTTCCTATGTTCTTTATAGTATATAATCACTGTACAAAAATTGTCACATGCATGTGTTATACAAAATTTGTGCTCTAGCAAAAATAACAAAAATCAGCCATTAAAGGTACTTGAACTACACCTCAAAATTTTCCCACAGCACATGCATGAAATATATTTTTCATAGAAAGTAAATCACTCAAGGAAACTAACAAAACTGGAACCATATTTTTCTGAGGTATATTCTATTTACTAGACATTTTCTCAGAAATCAGCATTTATTTACTTTAAATAAAGCTACACATAAAAGTATCACAAACTTAACATGCAGTAATTTTAACAGATAGATCTAGTCACAAGAAGCATAACAAAATTTGTTTCATACATTTTGGAGCAACACAACTTGAGATATACATTTACTAAGCATTTGAATCAATTTTTGAAACCATTTCTAAAACCCTTTTCCGAAAAAACCAACGAACTCAAGCGTTGGGTGCACCCGTGCTGTGCACCGGGGTTTCTCTCGTCATTGCAGTTGGGCCCCAGATGCCAGACGGGCCCAGCGTGATGGCAATGACACGTCATGGGGGAGGCGGGTCACGCTACGCTGCTCTCGGCGCTATCTTGCCGGCGACGAGCATTCCGGCATGAGGCCGAGGTCACCGGACTGCCCTACTCAACAATGCATAACGATTGGTGTAGGTGATGGGAGAGTGGAGCCGTCGGAGGTAGCCCACCGACGCACACATGGCGGGACTGTGGAGGAGTTCCGGCGTGAGGCGCCGGCCATCTCCCGACATGCAGAGGCTGAGCTAGGCTTGAATCAAGCACTAGAGCAC